GCCTTGGTTCCCCCCCAACCGCCCTCCCCTACTGGTCTGGTCACCCCCAACTTCCCTCCTCTGCCAGCCCAGTCACCCCTAACTGCCCTCCCTTGCTGGCCTGATTGCCCACAACTGCCCTCCCTGCCGGCCATCTTGTGGCGGCCACCTTGTGTCCATGTGGGGGAGGCCATCTTATGTGTTGGAGTGATGGTCAGTTTGCATATTACCTCTTTATTAGATAGGATAATGCCAGAAAGGCATATACATTTTAAACTGATGTCCAAAAAGTATTGTGTCCTTTCTTCCCTGGCCAGGCTGAGACCCTCTTCCAGCAAATCTGCCCCAATGAAGACTTCTGTCCACCACCTCCAAATCCTGAAGACATTGTTCTGGATGGAGACAGTTTACAACCAGGGACTTCAGAATCCAGTGTCGTACCAGAGGCTAATTCAGAGACTCCCAAGGAAAGTGGAAACCTGTGGAAGCCAGAGGAGCACTCTGAATAACAGATATACACCAAAATATTTGTCCCACTTTGGAAGTTCCTCCAGGCCTCAGAGTCTTCTTGATTGAGCAGCAGCCAATTGTCATGCAGAATTACCAAGAGAAACCAGGTCATAGAAATGCAAAAAGGATTTTCCTTAAAGAGGACATTCTAAGAACACAAAATACTTCTAAAGCACATTGACTCACCTGCTTTAATACACTAAACCTGTAGAGTTAGCAGATTAAAATTATAAATGGATTGGTTCCCAGGAATATAACTTTGGAGATGAAAATGATCATATGCATTGTTAATAATTCTGTACTTTTGGTACAGATTTTGCTTTGTCACTTGAATCTTTGTTTGAAAACCACATCTTCAGAATCATCTCACTTATTTCCTTTGATTTTTTTAATTATATTTTCTTTAAGGGTCTGAGCATCATGACACAAATGATAAAAGTATTGTAAATGTAATTGAGAAAAACTGAAGTATGAACTGGGAGGAGTCTATGCAATAGAGGTTTGTTTTGTTTTACTGAGAAGTATTAAAATGCTACTATTAAAGTATATCTTTTTAGAGTTTTTTAAATCCTCATCTAAGGATATCTTTTTAGTGACTTCAGAGAGAGAGAAAGAAACATTGATGCAAGAAACATTGTTAGGTTGCTTCCCGGCTTCCCAAAGGCACTCCAACTGGAGGTCAAACCTTCAACCTAGGCATGTACCAGGAATCAAAACAGCAACCTTTTTGGCATATGGGACGAAGCTCAACCAACTGAGCAACCCAGCCAGGGCAGTAGAAGTTTTTAACAAAGAAATCATGAGCCCATTACTTGGTGTTTTTAAATGTTAGTAGTGATTTTTTTTTTTAAAGAGCATTTTTTAAAATATTTTTTATTGATTTTTTACAGAGAAGAAGGGAGAGGGAATAGAGAGTTAGAAACATTGATGAGAGAGAAACATCGATCAGCTGCCTCCTGCACACCCCCTACTGGGGATGTGCCCGCAACCAAGGTACGTGCCCTTGCCCAGAATCGAACCTGGGACCCTTCAGTCCACAAGCCGACGCTCTATCCACTGAGCCAAACCAGTTAGGGCAAGTTAGTAGTGATTTTATATGTGAATCATTTATATACTAGGAAAGCTCAATACTGAAGAAATGGAAAGAGGTCTTTGGAAATTCTGTAAGTAACTGGAGCACTACCCTAATTGTCTATAGACCTAATTTAGTCCTAGCTACACTACTGATAATATCAGGCAAATTTTTTTAACTTCTGGGCCTCAGTGTCTCCATATCTAAGGTAGAAATAGTAATACCCTGCCTATTCTATGAGAATGATTTTGAAGATAAATGCAGTGCCATCTTTAGAATGGCTTTTCTGGAAGAAAAGTTTCAGAATTTTCCCATTGACTTGGAGATGATTATCAAAAACCTCATGCAGCAAACAATTACTGACAACAAATAATTGTTTGCTGTCAACTTCTCCAACACAATAGATCTCAATGTTTTTATTGCATTAAGCTTTTAAAATAAACTCTATTTCCTATATTAGTATTTTATAGTCTTACTAGAGGCCCAGTGCATGACATTTGTGCACAGGTAGGGTCACTAGGCCTGGCCGGCGATCAAGGATGATCGGGGCCTTCTGGCTGCTGGCCTGGGCCTGCCTTCCCCGGCTGCCAGCTGCTGGCTGCCAGTCGGGGCCTTCCTTTGTTCCACGCCACCCCCTGGTGGTCAGTGCATGCCATAGCAAGTGATCGAACTCCTGGTCTCCCAATCGAACTCCCAAGGGGACACTTTGCATATTAGCCTTTTATATAGAGAGATTATATATAGATAGATATGTCAGTAAACATAGTAACATGTGGAATTTGGGGTTTGACTCTTAATAAGGAAAATACTTAAGGAGGAAAATTCTTCATATTTCTTTTTTGGTAGGTAAACCTGAAACCGGCAAGGACTCTGAATAGAGTATAACAATTGATAAATGCTAGTATGCACTTAACATAAAGTGTTAGGGCTGTACATAGGTAGCAAATCTTAGTTACAGTGACAGTGACTATATTAATTTTTTTTTACAAATATCAAGCTCTGATTTACTTTTTTGAGCAGTAGTTTGGATTTAACAACTTATTTCAATATATAAATACATGAAATGTTTATTGTTGTTTAGTCCACCCTATACTGCTGACCAGAGGGCCATGATCACAGTAAAGAGCACATAATTCTTATAGGCTTCGGCTACAGGAGCTCTGACCTCCCCAGATTTCAGGAAAGTGAACTCTGTCAGGTCACAGACTCATGAGAAATGGAAAGAACCAAGGAATGTATCCCTTGCCTTACCTTTCCAACCTCCTAGGTGAATCCAGATGTAAAGAAAACTTCTCCAGCCTCTCAGGCTACTCCTAACTCCTCTACCCATTGTACAGCCCTCTCCTATCTCTTTAGTTCCTTCTTTCTCTTCCCTTTTGTAATGCTACACAAATCAGGGACACTGGAATCACATTATAATCTATTTTGTTATACAGATTCAGATCTTTCTTAAGTCAAATCATGTTTTCTGAATCCCAACTATAGCATGTGCTAAATGCACAATACATATCTATAAGCCCCAAGTATTGGACCTGCTCCTCAATACCAGCAATATAAAAGGTTCCACTATATGAGAGTATGGAGTCTGAATACAATTGCAGTAAGTTGCACTAATTAAGATATTTTACTTTATTATAGTCTTAGAGTTAAGGCCTCTTGAATAAACCATGCAAATCTATGTAAATAGCTAATCAGGGTAGACCAATAATAACTAAAAAAATTTTGATAGCTTTATTATAACAATCTACTAGTATATGTAGAGCAAGAAGGAGATAGTCTGTGGTTTGCTGGCTAAACCCTTATTTTACCCTACTTCATCCATTAGCCAGCATCAGAATCTCTCTTCCAGTTTATTAATGCTGTTGAAACATTTAAAAGCTCCTGAATATGATTAGTGGTGGTTAAGATATTACACAACTGTTAAAAACCTTGTGTTAGAGAAACTTAGATATTTTTCTGTTGTCTCAAAATATAATAGAAATTATTTTAAGAGTTTTCTTTTCTACTATCTTAATTACTGCAAATAAATATTTGTTCATAGTTTTAAGTTAAAAAAAATAAAGAAAATTCTTTTAGTTTTGTTGTAAAACCGTAAGCCTGAAGTCATATGAATAAAATTAATGTGTTGTACATGATGCAGAAATTTCAGTACATAATGTAAAATTTTAAAAATTACTATTATCAATGAATTTTGACTCGTGTGTTTAAATTATTTAGTTATGCATGCTTCTCATTAACCAAAAATGATAATACTATTGTTTAGTGATCAATATGAAGTTGGTTACCAACCCTGTGTTACTACTATATTTTTGTCTAGTTGCTATGCCTGTCCAGATAAACATTTTTCTATAAGAAAGCTAAGTTTCGATTTTCCCTATTTCCTGTGATATTTAGTTATCTCCTGTGATATTTAGTTCCCATAGTAAAATTGCCACATCAATGATTAACCTTACAATGGTAGTTTCTGAGATGGGCAGCCCTTTGTCTAAAATAATGGCTGTGCTAATGATTAACTTCTATCACAACTACAGTTCCTGAGAAGGCAGCCCTTTGTCTAAAGAATTAAAGACCTCAAAATACTTTGTTGACATTGGATTGCTAAATAGTAGTGATCCTTTAAAGCAGGAATTAAATAAATTTATTACAAACAAATTACTTACTACTATTGGTATTGAATAATTTATGTCTCTACTTTCAGTTGTCCTATTTGCATTTCAAAATGCATGAATACATGATTATTCATAATCTGCACACTGTAACAGTAAGTTTTCAAAGGAAATAAAAGTGTTTTCAATGCCTTTCAGGTGTGGTATCATATTTTTTAATATGAAAGTTCTGTATATATGCCAAGACATTAAAGCTTGTCTTGGAAATTATTTATTTGTTGATATCAGTTTATTAATTGTCAAGCTCTATACTTGATTTTGTTTCCAGGCATTTGTCAACTATGTCAGGTTTGTGAGAAAGGTCATCAAATGATACATGGGTGTGGTTTATTTAGTGAACTGTTCTAGATGCCAGTATCAGACCTCGTGCTGTTCAAAATCAGTGCTATGAGGCGTGGGCTATGGCTTTACAGTACATTGATTGCCTACAGACTGTTTTTACTTTTCACTTGGTGTACAAGAATATGAGATGTTTTTCATACTTACCTGGTGAATGATAACCTGAAATGTTTTTCTCTGTTGTAGTTGAGTCCCTAACAGCTTATTTGCAACAGAAAAGAAACTGATGATTTTCTTTTTAATGCAGAAGTCATTCATTGAACTCTGATTTGTTCTTGAATCAAATAATTAAAGTAGAGTGACATCTGTCAATTCCAAGTAGTTGCTAAAGCTTCTCAGACAGGACATATTCAAAAGATAACAGGACTCTTTCAAAATTTATCTGAGAGATTATTAATAAATCAAGTTTAAGAAAGATAAGGTTAATTGAATTTTCAAACAAGTAGCTGTATTATCCTTCAAGCACCTTGGAGCTCATACAGTATTCACACTTTTTTTAAACAAGTGCTTTGATATGATTGAATTCTCCTCTTTAATGATGGCTTTTTTAAAAGGCCAGTAAAGTGGTTTAACACTTAGCATCCCAGGTCCCTTTTTGAAAGCTACTTCTATTTCCATTAATACAGTTTAGCTGTAGGGCTGCAATGAGATGCCATTCCCATACAGGTTGCCACATCTGCTCTTTCTGGTGATGATGACTCTCAGGACCATTTGATAGGTAATCCTTAGAACTTGAACCCTAGTATAGTGTCTTTTAGCTTATCACTGCATGGGGATTTATGCTGGTAACTCCTACTAATGTAAATAGGACTTGCATGTGTAAATCCTATCAGTGAGATAGTTGACCCCTAAAAGAAATGTTCTTTAGAGATGGGCACTTGCTGATCTAGAAGCATAAATGAATTGTTCTATTCATAAATTTCTTGTATGGAAAAGGAAAGCAAAACTGTACCAATTCAGCAGAGGATTTGTTAGTGGAGCTTGAAAAGATGAAATACTAGCTCTTAGTTTTCTATTCCC